TTTTTCTCCGGTACCGGGAACCAAACTCACAACGTTGCGCTTGCCAGGCAGGCGCTTTGCCACTGAGCTAAATCCCCAGCCCCTTTTCAGTTTTTTTTTTTTGGTTCTCTTGCCATTTTAAAATACCTATTTCCGTGTTTCTTATTTTCTGTCTTTTTTTAAATTTTTTTTTTCCAGTACTGGGAATCAAACTCACGACCTTGTGCTTGCCAGGCAGGTGCTGTGCCACTGAGCTAAATCTCCAGCCCCTTCTGTCTTTTATTTTGCTCTTTAGATTATTTGTACTTCAGATTTCTCATTTAAGAGAAACCATGATTTAAGCTTGTGTGTCTGATTTATTTTACTTAATGTTAAAGTCTTGAGATGGATTCATTTTCCTAGAAATGACTCAAATTTACCCTTTATGCTTGAGTAGTACTCCATTGTGTGTAAACAGCACATTTCTTTATCCATCCATCTGTGGCTGGACAAGTGAACCACTTACACAGTTCAGCCATTGTGAGCTGTGCTTCTATAAACATGAGTATGCTTGTGTCACTGTCTTAGGATGTCTTTAGTTCTTTCCCGGACACACTAGAATGGGAATAGTTGGGTCAGTGGAATTTTCTTTCTAGTTTTTTGGGAAATCTCCACAGTGATCACTATAATGGCTGTATTAATTTACACTCCCACCAACAATGGAGAAGGGCACCTTTTCCCCTGTAGCCTTGCCAGAATTTTTTGGTTTTTGAGTTTGCGATGATGGGCATTCTTTCTGGAGGAAGGTGGAATCTCAGTGTTGTTTTAACTTGCTTTTTTCTAATGGCCAGAGACACTGAACATTTTTCATGCATGCATCAGCCATTTCACTTCTTTCTCTGAACTGTGTCTATTCATCTCAGATGCCCTTTTTTTGATTGGGTCTTTTATAGTGGAGGGGGTCTAATTTTTTTGAGTTCTTTTTTTTTTTTTTTTGGTTTTTTTTCCCAGTACCAGGAATCGAAATCACAACCTTGCGCTTGCCAGGCAGGCGCTGTGCCACTGAGCTAAATCCCCAGCCCCTGAGTTCTTTTTTTTTTTTGGAAACAGGGTCTCACTATGTGGCCCAGGCTGGCCTTGAACTCAGTCCTCCTGCCTCAGCCTCCCGAGTGCTGGGATTACAGGTATATGCCACTACATCTGGCTTGAGTTCTTTATAATCTAGATATTAGTTATTTGTCTGAGGAATAGCTGCAAATTTTGTTTTGTGGGGTTTTGTTTTTGTTTTTGAGACAGGGTCTTGCTATGTAGCCCAGGCTGGTCTTGAGCTCATTGTGTAGTCCAGGCTGACCTCGAACCCGTGGTGATTCTCCTGCCTCAGCCTCTTTTTTTCTTTTTTCTTTTTATTTTTTGAGACAGGTTCATGCTAGACAGTTCAGGCTGGGTTTAAACTCGCAGTGGTCCTCCTGCCTCAGCCTCCTGAGTGGTGGGATTTGGGAAAAATTTTCCCATTCTGTACATTCTCTCTTCACTCTGTTGGTCATTTCCTTTGCTGTGCAGAAGTCTTTTAATTTGATATGATCCCATTTGTTGATTCTTGCTGTTATTTCTTGCATAGTTGGGGTTCTGTTCAGAAAATCCTTACCTAGACCTCTGACTTCAAGAGTTTTACCTAGCTTATCTTTTAGTAGTTTGTTTTAATATGGTGGTACCTCAGTTCATGATTTTAATTCTATGAATCTGGTCACAAAGTGAATTAGATGAGAATCAAATCAAATTGCCCCATAAGGTCAACATTGAACATTGAACTTAACCAATGAATTTGATTCAGCTTGCGTCTAATTCGGTTTGTGACCAGAATTGCAGGAAGAATTAAGTTCTCGAACGAAGGCCTTTGATCCGTTTTGAATTTTATTTTACTGCATGGTGCAAGTTAGGGTCTGGATTCAATTTCTGCATGTAGACAGCCAGTCATCCCAGCACCATTTACTAAAGAGGCCCTCTTTCTGCCAGTGTATGTTTTTGGCCCCTTTGTCAAAGATCAGACTGCTGAATGTGCCTGTTGTTTCTTTTCCCTCTATTCTGTTCCACTGATCCACATGTCTATTCTGTGCCAGTATCATGCTTTTTAAAATCACTGCAGCTTTGTAATAGAACTTGAAGCCTGGGATTGTGATGCCTCCTGGTTTGCTCTTGTTGCCCAGAACTGCTTTTGCTGTTCTAGGTCTCTTCTGGTTCCATATGAATTTTAGGATTGTTTTCTCCGGTTCTCTGCCAGGAATACTGTCAGTATTCTGACCAGGTTTGCATTAAACCCACATATCAGTTTTGGTAATATGGCCACTTGACAATATTGGTTCTGCCTATCCAGGAACAGGGAATATCTTTCCATTTTCTGATGTCCTCTTCAATTTCTCTTTTTCAGAGTACTATAG